TCAGTAATCGTATAACTCATTTTAAGTAAATACTTTATCTGTCAAGCTACTGATCATAACTACAGACATACAAACGCAGTATATCAGTAGTCAAAAATTCTAAACAACTGCCAACTGACAAGAATCAGGCAGTCAAATGGCTAGACCCCCATTCGTTGGGCACTACCAAATACCTGGAACCCTATCGAAAGAACAAGAATCGAGTGCAAAGTAATCAAAAATGGTTTATATGAGCTCACTAAAAAGATATTGGATATTGGAAGCGCGTTAATTAGATCTACTCAATCAGTGAAATAATGATAAAGTTACTAGAATCTAATGAGTAAAGTGAGTATTTTTATCTCTGTGTCTCTTTTCTGTCTAAAATGTTTGCAGTTCCATGTAGTTCTCTTTCAGTTACACTCTGTCAAGTGTACGTTACATATAGCCTTCAACACTCTGATGTTGTTCTCCTAAAGATTTATAGATATCAGTGAGATTATTTTCATCTACAGAGTACCAATGTACATAAGAAAGAGATTTGCAAATATCGTTTACATACTGATTTTATAGAAGATAACAATAATTCTAAAAGTCAAACTGTAAGTAACAATGTTTATGGATAACAATATTTACATGTTTTTCAGTTATTTTCCAAAACAGTAAACAGTTGTGACATGTAATCAAAACCCACACACACACACACTGAAACTATTCGAAGCTATCTTGATTGATCGGAAAAATCCAACTTTATGTGTTCAAAAACAACTGTATGTTGACCTTTGTTTACCATGGTTCTAGTGAGTGAGTGAATGTCATGCTAAATAAGAAATTTTGACCTTATCTTAAAAACTGTATTTACACAAATAACATGTTGCTTGTATGTGACTGACGAGAAAGCACGAAATGGTACTATCTCACAAAATATGTCTTCTTATTACTCTTTTCAAAAGTAAACAGTTAACTTAGTATTTCATCAAAATGTTTATCGTCCTCAGTTTTGATTATTTTTCAAAATGAATATGACACTAATATGATCAATCTACAATTTATTATTCAAAATATAAATAAAATTACTCTTTAATACTATCAACGTGTAGTGTCTATGATATTATTAATCGATCTGATTGTCACGTTCGAAAAAAATGATGTAATCGAATGCTGTGTTAGTTACCAGTTCTTTAAACGTTACTCACTTATATAGAATATTTTGCTATCGTAAAGCAAATTTTCTTAAATACAATTTGAGTATGACTCTATTTTTATGTTTCCTTAAGCTGAACTCGTTGTTAAACCGATTACTAATTACAAAATGGTATTAAAAGCCAGATAGTAGATTTTGTGAGCTGCTTTGTTTCAAAGCTTATGAAGCAACAAATTAATTTATAACTGTATGAAAAGTGTGTATTTATTTATTCCGTTCAACAAATCAATTATAGAGTTTGTTTTTTAAACGTTGAAGAGTACATGAAATAAGATTTAATTGCAGATAACCAACAAATAGTTTGCATAATTTTATGGTCGTCCAAAATTTAACAAATCGTATCATGTTTGTGAAATGAGTCTACTTAAATTTTACATTCTTTTACCAATTTAAATTACATTTTGTACTTCAAAATGACATTCCTTATTCGGAACGATAAAAATGGTACTTGATTTTGCAAATCACTATCTTAAGAGTTACAGTACAGTTTGAAAATATTCCCATGAAAATTTAAGCATCTGTTTAGCTTCTATATGATCGAAAATCAAACAGATCAATCAATTTCAAACTAGTTAAAAAAAGAAAACTGACCAAATTACATTGTAACAGAATGATCTACAAATGGGATTCATATTTCTAAATAGCTTCTCTCTCTCTGTAATTCGCTTAATTTCATTTCCGAATAAAAAAAATAGCTAGATAAATTTGTAAACATTTTTGAAAATTAACAAGAAAATGTCACAAATATTTTTTCTTGTTAACACAGTTATGTTCGATCATTTTCTACTCCCAACTTGATCAAATTCTAGATCACTAATTAGTGTTAATTTACTCAAACGAATCACAAATAATAAAAATACCAACCAAATGTTATCGAGAAATAATAGAATCTGCAAAACTCGCTATAATATTCTGCTGTGTGTGTGTGTGGTTACAGTCATAATGTTTCCTTGGTTCTAGAAAGACTTGTCTTTGGACATTGATTGTGTACAACAGAATACTTTCATGATATCAACGGTTTGACTTGTTTATAATGTCTCGCATGCATATAATCAACTAACAAACTCTTTTAGTTTTCATCTAGCATTTTGGCATAATATTACTTTAGCAAATTAAAATACAATAGACTGACTAAAAAAACCAACATTACTATACAGAAGAAGAAATCGATTTCAGGCGTAAAATCAACCATCTTTTCTCTTCTTGAGTGATATTTAAGCCTATATCTTGGAAATTGTATGAATTCAGGTTAATTCCTTTTATGTTGATTACAAAAGGTTTTTTGTTCTTTATTTTTATAATGAAAATAATGTTCTATGCAAATGACCTCTAATGCAACTAGGTGTTTATTTTTTTCATTTGGTTAAAGAAAACTATTTCCATTGACAGTTATCGATATATCAGTTTTTTTTTTAACGACACTCAAGTTAAACTTCAGAGCTGATTGAATTACTAATAGGACATAATTATCAAAAATATCAATGAATCATTTTTTCAATTAAAAAATACTGTAAAAGAAAGAAGT